GTTAATAAAATAGATCTTAAAATATATTTTTTACTTAGTAAATATATAGCTAAAATTAATATTTAAAATTTTATTAATAAATTTAAAAATTAAAAAAATTAGTAAAAATCTTCGCAGGCAAATTTGCCTGTGTTACAATTTAAGGGATAAGGTTCCAACCTCATAATCTATCGGGCACGTTTACCCTTTAACTCTGAGGTTCTTAGCCACTTCAATGCGGAATGGTCCGTAATTAAGAAAAAGGGCTTTGACCCTAAGTACTGATAAAAGTGTTCAATGGCCTATATAACCACAAGACACTCTAGCTCAGGTACAGAGTAATTTTTCTCTGCTTTACTTACACTGCGGCTAGTATATGCCACAACATACTCCTTACCTTCATTGTCTAGTTGGGATAACACAGCACCCAACCCTGTAATTGAAGCATCGGTATGGAGGTAAAAAGGCCAATCAAAATTGGGATACCTTAAAATTGGGCTGTAATGAGATGACTTTTCAAGATATTAAAAGCTTTATCTTGTTTTTTAGCCCAGTGAAATTTTATTTCACTTGATAATAATTTATTTAGGGGTTTTGCAGTCTTGTATAAATCACCTATAATAGGAGGCGAGACCCAAGAATGCACGTAGTTGTCTTAATGTAGTTGGTATAGGGAAGTCTCTTATTTTCTTTATTTTATCATCATCAGGAGCAACACCATCTTTGCCAATCACGTGACCTAGAAATTTAATTTTATATAGGAAGAAAAAACACTTGTCTAGGCTCAATGTGAGGTATGCTTCTTCTAACACTTTTAGAACAAGACGAACATGCTCTAAGTGTTCTTCATAAGTCCGGGAATAAATGGTGATATCGTCCAAGTATACAACCACAAACTTGTTGACATAAGCACTCAACACGTGGTTCATTAGACGTTGAAACGTCAAAGGGGCATTGCAAAGCCCAAATGGCATCACATTAAACTGATATATGCTGAATTTTGTTATAAAAGCAGTTTTCTTTCTATCTTCTTTTCTTACCACAACTTGCCAGTATCCACTAGCTAAGTCTAAGCTAGTGAACCACTTTGTACCCTCAAACACAAATAAAACTTCATTTATGTTAGGTAAAAGATAAATATCCTTTTCTGTTACCATGTTTAACTTCCGGTAATCAATACATAATTGTTTTTTGCCATTTTTCTTAGGCACCAGAACAACAAGAGAAGTCCATGGGCTTTCAACTTCTTTAATTATACTTTTTTCTCCATATCAAGAATTTCTTCCCTAAGAAATTCTTGATTATCTAGGGACATACTATAGGGACGCTGGCTAATAGATTTGGCATCATCTGTATATATTTCATGCTGCACCAAGTTAGTTTGGCTTAGGCCAACTGTTTGACCGGACTTACTGATCTTTTCTGCATAAACTTGGGGTGTTTCTATTAATATTTCTACCACCTTTTCTTTTTGGGGAGGTGGTAAATCTGGGTTAATATTAAAGGATTTCTCATCCTACTCTGGTTGTTCTATTTGAGAATTCACCAAAAATACCACGGGGTTATGGTCAGTCCATGGATTAAAGTACATTTCTTCTTCCTCTGAGGTACCCTCATCCGAGTAAAAGGCTTGTACTTCATCACTTTCATTTTCTAATTCATCAATCCATTCTTCTTCATCAGTGAATTCTTCTAATTCCTGATTGTTAAAACTCTTACTAACATGGGTCGCATTTATGGTAACTTGTTTACCCAGATATTTTATATGTAGGGTATTACTACCAAAGTCAAGCTTCGCTCTTGACTTACTAAACCAATCTGTACCCAAAAGTAAAGTCTCTTCCTGAGACTCGATTACTTGTAAATCTATAGATATAACTAGGTTCTGTAAAGTTATTTTAACACTACTGACTATACTTAGAGCTTTAGCTCTATTACCATTAGCTGTGATGACAATAGTCCAGGATGGTTTATCTATTACTAACCTAAGCTTATTCATAAGCTTCTTTGTTATTATACTTACTGCAGTGCCGGAGTCTAGTATTGCAACTACCGGATTGCCTTTAATCCTTACATGGTAGCACATGGCAATGGTTTTGTGTTGGCTATTTGCATTCAAGTGATTAGCCTCAGTACTTGGGGCCTTTTTCCACCTAAGTGCCTTAGCCAGGTTATGTCATTGAGTTGGATTTTGGAGTATTTGCCTATAAGTTATACGTGCCGGGGCACCTAATAAATCCTCAGATATATCATAAGGCTGTAGTTTATCTACCACTGAAGGTAAGTGATGTGCTGCAACTTTTTTTGGTATTACATCCGGGACTACATTAGTATCCAAGGTCATTGGATCTTCAACTTTTTCTTCTTCTGAGACTGGAGGGTTCTGTTTCCTTTCGCGTAGTTGATACTCTTTATGCGATTCTGATTGTCTTTGTTGCTGTTTTTCCTTAGACTCCTAATGGTTAGTACCACAAGGCTTGTACTTAGCAGCAAATACTTCTTCATCATCACTATCAGATTCAGGTTCTACAAAATTAATATGCCTACTTTGCCTGTTATGATTAGGTCTTTTTAAAATTTGATATAGGCGCTCTACCCTTTCAGACAAGCATTTATAAGCATAATGGCTGGGTTCTCCGCACTTATAGCACTTACCAGGAGAACTCTTCTTATAAGGCTGTTCCTGCCTTACTCTTGTTGGAGCTACCGCTCTATCTAATTGAGCTATTAAGGCTGTTGCCATATTGGCATAATTAAGACTTAACTGCTGCATTTGCTGGGTCAGGTTTTCAATTTCTCTTTTATAATTCCTGGCCTGAGTTGGTAAATCAGGGCCAGTATTTAAGGCAAAATTGGTACCTTGCTCGTACCTACGAGCCTTGTCCAGGACTTCTCCCAAATTTTGTGGGTTATGCATTAATATCATGGGAAGTATTTTGGGTCTTAAACCCTTTTTGAAATAATATTGTTGTTGGGTATCTGCCATGTTTTTATTAACTCTTTTTACTAACCTTTTGAACTTACTATAATAAGTTTCAATAGATTCGCCGGGTAGCTGTTTAAGCGAGTCAAGGTCTCTTAGCCACTTATTCTGCCAACGCTGGGTGCAGAACTGAGCAATGAATGCATTTTTGGTGGTATTCCAATTTGCAACAGCATTATTAGTAGCAGCATTAGCTGCAAAATAGGTTTGTTGCCATTTATCAGCATTACCATGTAGAAACGCAGGCAGTAGTTCCCTTTTTTGACAGTCAGACCATCGATTAGCCATGGCGGCTTTTCATGGAATGGTTCAATCTTTAGTAAGATAGAATCTCTTTGGTTAGCCTGAAGATAGTTTAGCACATCCTGTGCATTAGCAGTGGCCATGTTTTAGTTAACTGGTGGGGGTGATGGTGTATGAAATAACCTTCTTAATTCTAGGTCTGAATCTGACTCTTCTGCCTCAGAAGTAGTTTCACTTAGGTTATAGAGAACAACAAAAGGGTCTAATTCGAATTTATTCGTTCGTAGATACGCTTGACGAAGTTGGTCAACTATAGTCTCAAATCTGGGGTCTTCTGTATAATGACACGTATACACTAAAGCCCAAAAGTGCTCTTCTGGTAGATTTGCAGATTGTTGTAATAATTGAAAGATTTGGAGCGTGCAATCAGTATAGAAAATTACTAGTACACGATTAGAAACCAAGCCCAGAAGTTGATAAATAGTAGAGTATATGCTCTTGCAGCGGGATAACACAACTGACAAGAGTAATCTGCCGTGAATTTGTGAATTTGCTAATGAATTACTTCTGTGGTCCCCGGGTAAAGCGTGTGCTAATGATCGTGCTGAGTATTTCTATGTTTAAACTCTGGATAACTAATCATGCACGGTTAGTAGCTACATGCTATCTTACTTGAGTTTTTAGTGACTTGGTGAGTTGTATCTCACAGTCACCACCAAAAATGTCACACTCGAATCAACCTCTCAAAAATGATCCAAGGGACGTGGCTAATATAGCATGAAGACTATATCCACGAAGAAATTAACGGTTAGTATAACTGATGGTAATATACCTAATAGAGAGAATTAAGGCTTGTTCGAAAGAGGCTAACAACTCTGGGTATATGGAGATACCAAGGTTGTATGTTTTATTAAATAACTT